GGCAACAAAAGGTGGCAGAAGTCCAGTGTTTCTCCTATGTATTTCTGGAAAGAAAGGTTGATCACAACTGGCCCTACATCTGTAAAATTTTCTCTGAACATCAATTTCACTGTAGCAATAGAAGAAGATTTGCTTTTGAACTTCAAAATATATTCAAACAAAATGAATCTCACAGTAGTTCTGTATTGTAACTTTATTTTTTTTTTGAAATGCTGTATATTTCTAGCCCTCTAATAAACAAGCCCTACTTGCCCCAAGCTGGACAACTGGAACATGAAACATCACAGATATGTGATGCTTTACATGAAAAACATATCCTGAGTCCAAGGAGTATTTGAGTGAACAGCTGAAAGATAAAATAGACTGTATTTTGACAAGTAACAAAAATGTAAAGATACATATGAAATTACTTAACATATATTTGCATTTTCTGAATTCTGTCTTGTCTACCCAGAGCAAAAGTCTTGCTTTGCTATAAACCTACTTTCAGCCTGCTGTGATATGTGTGCTCCCCACAGATGTAAAAAGAAAACAGGAATTTGCAGCTGACGAAAACTGTTGCTTTTAAAAACTTAGATCTTCCTCTTACTAAAACCATGAGTTATGAACCATTTCTATGTATCTGAGCTTTCCCGTCCCAGTTGGTGTGTATGTTGCATTGCCCTTTACCACTTGCCCTATGTTTGTGCCGTCAAGGAAGAGATACTCTAAAAGGATGATGCAAGTCTCTCCATTAACGATATTTAGCAAAGATTCTCTGCTCATTCTTCCTGTAGGTGTATTTGGAGAATGAAAAATCCTCATGTGGTTTTTAAGATTCAAATTTGGAAGAAGTATAATATGTAGGATGGGAAAGCTCATTTCAATTTCCTGTTCTGCTGAACTTCCCAGCGCACTTTCGAAAGTAACTTACAGTCAATTAAACAGTGTTGAATTAAAGCTGGCACTAGCCATTTACTTCTGCTCTTCCATTAGGAAGTCTGTATGATAATTAGAACTTCTGAGCAAGCACAGCAAATCTTCCCAACCCATGAGTGTTACACTTAGATGGAAAACCCTAAAGATAAACGTTCTCAGGCACTTAAACAGTGGGTACTGCATAAGGCTGTAAGATTGTTCTTGCCTTCTTGTTTATTATACTAGCACCTACTGTTGAACAGTGCATTTCAAAATAATTTAATCTCTCGGGGGGATTTCATAGAATCACAGAATGGTTTGGGTTGGAAGAGACCTTAAAGATCATTGAGTTCCAAGTCCCTCTGGAATTTGGGGTGCAATCTTGCAGAAAGTTAGTGACTAGAGGTGTTGTGGAGATCTGAGTCTTCTTTCCTTACAGAAATCATATTTCCATTACCTTTCCATGGGGAATAATGTGGAGCTGCTCCTGAATGGAGCCAGCTCTTCCCTTCTTTTTGGTCGGATTAGGATTTGTGTTAGTTACATGATGAAATAGTCTAGGGACTGACTCAGTCAAAAACTAATTTCCCCCTTTGACTTTTTATTTTGTCATTATTCACCTAAGTAAAATAATGTACATGTTTAAAATCACATTGACATCTATGTTTAAAATTACATAGACATTGTATCTTGGCTACATATCTCAAACACTTGCATGTGGATGGTTAATTACTTAATATCAATAGAAATTTTAAAAGGATAAATAGTCTTTCCAATAATTAATATCATATTGATTGAGATGCAGTTTGTGCCTTTTTAGAGATGAAATTTTTTTTTAATGCACTTAAAAAAAAATCCACTGCTATATCACATAAAAAAACTGGATATATCACTTCAGTTTTCACATATATGCATCGCTTCACTTAACTCCAGTGATAATTGTTTTTACCCTTACAGCTAAGAGTGTTGCTGGCCTAGATATAAGGGTAAGGATTATTCTAAAGCAGCACAAACTATATGATGATTACCTCAATATGCCAAAATTTTTGTCTGGAACTGGTATACTGCAGAACATACCCCAGATCAGCATACTGTGTTAAGCTCTGCTCAGCACTACCTGATTATGTTCACCTCTCCTGTGATTCTACTACTTCTAAACTGGAAGAAGTGCTTACAAAATGTCACATACTTGCCCTGCTATTCAATTTGCCCTCACAGAGGTAGTAATTCCAATCTCACAGAAGTATTGTGAAACGTCATTTATTAGCATGTGCAGAGTTTGAGATCCTTGGCAAAGTGGAATAATAGGATTTTTAGGTCCTTTTTTTAAAAGCTATTTTTTAATATCAAAATAGTGATTTCATTCTATTTGTATATTTCAGTAAATACAGCAGAAAAGAAATAAAACCTTTTAAGTAAAATATTTTGTTTGTACTTTGAAAGTAACAATTTGTTACTGCTGCCTTCCAATGGATTATTTCAAGTCCTATTCAAGTCAATGGCATGACTCTCCACTTCCACCAGGGCACTTGCATCCCCGGACTCTATCACAAACCCCGGTGACATGTTGGACATTGTCTATGACTCAGAACTAACTGAAATTAATTCAATAATGACTTAAATCATTCAATATCACTCCACGGATAATAACACAGAAGGAAGGGAGAGTTCCCTTTTGACTGTGCACTGGAGGGGGCTCAAGTTTCTAACCAATAAGAGCTAACACATCTAGTGTTTGTGAGCCATGCAAGCACGCTCACAAACGAAGCAAAACAGTAAAACCCAAGCAATACACTTTTCTTCTCAAATGCCTTCCAGCTCGTTGGCAGCATGGGCTTTAAGTCTGTGCGACTAGCATAAAGAACCTGCACTCTGACAGTAATTATATTGCTTCTGATCTCTCACACCCTGTCATAGTAGTCTGTCCCTGCACTCAGCTTCCCGGTGATTCAAGATACCTCACAGGGCTGCGCAACTTGCCTGAAATGGGAATGAGGGGTTATATTCAAGTTTCTGATAGTTTCAAGGTATGTGGTTTATCTAAAGTGTGACTTCAAGGCATGAAGCTATGGTAAATCTCAAAGAACATCACAGGCAATATTTGTGATTAGAGACTCAAAAGCAGCACATTTTTGTGGGGGAAGGCTTTGAGCACAAGCTCATTATAAATACATATCTACCCCATGTGCCTTTTGAAGAATGACAATATGTTATCACAGCAACAAGGAGCCACTGTGACTGCTTTCCTTAACAAATATGTTGTTCTATTTTTTGATTCATCTCACATACAAAGATTAGATTCTAGTTTCAGTATTATGGTTACTTGAAGTGTCATTTGGGAAGGAATGCTATGAATGCCTGTGGAAAAAGTTATTCTGCTTCTATTATGCAATGTATTTCACATAAGAATAAATCACAAAGGCTCTTCACTTTAAATGATTTTTTTCTTTCTGCATACTTATATTTGTGAAGTCACCCTTTCTTAGGACAAATAGTTTACTGTTGAGGGTTGATTCTGCCTTTAGTGTCAATTGTTAATTCCTAATACATGGGGCAAATCCAAAGAAGCCTTTAGGTTGACCACAGATCACACAACAGAGGTCTGTGAGCAGAGCGCATTTTCACATGTGGACAGGAAAGATGAGAGCCTCCTACCTCAAACACAGTCAGGGTTAGATGACTGCTGAATGTGTGTTCTTTTGATTTTGATTTTTGCACTTGAGCCCTTGTCTTTGTCATTTCCCACAGTCTAGACTGTCATTTTACTGGTTATTTAAAACCCCCAAAATCCAGCTTGCTGTCTCTCTCTATTCCCAGTCTTACTGTAAGTTATGAAATATCTCAAAGTTGGAAGTAGCAAATTATCTTGACAGCCCAAGCACTTTTCTTCCTTCTATTGTCTCTCATTGCTCTGTTGTGGAGCTGTTACTACACTAAAGGAGAAGAAAAACGACAGGACCTCCAGGTGCAAGCACCACAGGAAACAAAGGAAGAACAGGAGAAAGAGTGGGGAGAAGAATCCCCCATTTTTTTGGAGTTGATTCTGCATTCAACTGAAGAATTCTATGTAATTTTTTTATTTTTTTTTTTTTTTTCCCCCCACCATGTCTGCACATGCAACTTCACAGGTTCATTTTGGAACTGGTAATGATTCAGAAGCAAACTTCAGCAAAACAGCTTCAGTCAAAACACAGTAAACAGGTAGGCCAGTGATGCTAAGAGAGTAACTGAGCTGTATTTTTAGCAGTTCATAAATTGAAAAAAGATAGATGGGGATTCGTTTAAAAAAAAAATAATAAAAAGCTGCAATGTTATTGTGTTATTGCAGGTGTTATTTAATTATTTCCAAGTTAACAGTGTGAAATGGGGGTACACTAAATATAACCCCTCATCTGTAATTGTCAAACCTGTCCTGATCTACTTGTGCTGGAAAAGCTAAAATCAATGTGGATGAATCCTAGCAGGGGTCCAGTTCCTACCAGAGAAGGGCTGCGTGTAAGAAAGCAGGGCAGCGCGCTTTAGAAGGCAACACAGCCGAAAGTGGTGCCATCTGAGCGGAACAAGAGAGGCTTGTTTTCTTGGCTGCCTACATCCTGAGCTCACTTTAAATGACAGACTTCTCTCCGCATTTCAATTAGACTGTGCCAGTGGGCAAGCGGGGAATATTAATGAGGCAGCCTCCGAGGGCCACGAGGGCGGGAGCCGCGGTCTGCGAGTTGTTCGTTCCCCCCCAGCAGACCGGAAAGGGCGCGGGGCCGTTGTTGGGGTTGTGCCCTGTCACACCCGCGCTTAACAAGAGGTGCTTAAAGGGTCGGGAAGGGCCACAGGGAAGGTGGTGTGTCGTCCTGGGGATCCCCCGGTTTATCGCTCGCGCACAGGCGGAGTTGTCGGGCAGGCTGCAGGCCCGCGGCTGAGCCGCCGCTCGCCAGGGTGACTTGCATCTTCCCTGCCCCGCACGCCCTGGGGCGCACCAGCACCCCGCCGTCGCGCCGCGCCCCCTGGGGCAACTCCGCGCCCGCGCAGCCGCCGCCCGCGCGTGCCGGTACGCGCAACCCCCCCCCCCCCCCCCCCCCCCCCCGTTCCCCGCCCGCCTCCGCGCACCGGCACGCGCGCGCCCGCCTTTCGGGATCCGCTCGGTCCTGGCCGCGCTCCGCCGCCGCCCGCCGCCTCCTGCCCCGCTCGCTGTTGGCACCCTCCGCCCCGTTCCCCCCTCCCTACCCCGGCCGCACGCCGGCTCCAGGTACGATCCCCGGGGGTCCCCGCCCTGCCCCTAGGAGAGCTCTGCTGCCGACCGCAACTTGTCGCCCTGCGGGGCTGTTACCCCCCGCCGGTGTACTGCCGAGCAGCTGTCAAACGTGCTGGGCGGCCGGCGGCGGCGGCGGCTGGGGGCGGCTCGACCGCGATCTCCGCACCAAGCCCCCGCGAATGGCGTGACTCCCCCCTGCCGCCCCCCGGCTGCGGAGTGCCGTTGTGAGGCGAGGAATGGTTAAACCCCGGCCCTTTTGTACATGCGGGTTTTTTTGTTGTTTTTTTTTTTTTGTTGTTGTTTTTTTATTTTTTTTAATTTTTTTTTTTGATTCCTTTTCGTCTTGGGGCTTACGGAAAAGGAAAGCATCTGATGCGTCTGCTCACATGCCACTTTTGATCATACGTTGCCTCTTTGCACAGAGCAAGATCGTTGGGAAAGATGGAGATACAATAAGTTGCTAGTAGTGAGAAGTGCTGCAGAAACCCAGTAGGTTTCCTCTCTCCACCGAAGTGACATATTTTTCCTCGGGTTAAGTTGAAAGCACTGCGTGGCGGAGACTGACTGTAGCTGAGAGTGGGTTTGTGTTTTTCTTGTACGGTTAGGTTTTGCAGGAGCAGCGATGAAGAGGAAGCTGGTGCTCTCCGAGATGCAGTTGGTTCTTCTCGTTTTATTGGTGTGGCTACCAACAAGGTGAGAGGATGTTTAGTTTTCTTGTTCCATACAAACATGTATGTTACAGTCTGCTAAAGGTAAGCCTGTGTGAGAGGTTATGAAAGTATGGTGTATAGTAATGTCATAAAAAAATCTTTCTTGGCTCTTTGAATGCAGTCTTACATAGTTTCCGGACTAAATGTGTTAGAAGGTAGTCTAGGGACCGTATAAGCCTAATTGCTTGTCCTTAAACAGTTTGTGAATAGATGTTTTATTTCACCATTAAAAAACAATTCCTTTAAATGCCTTATTGAATCTTAAAGATTTAATGAAGTTACTGTACCACTGTGATTGTGTACCATACAGAGGAGTTAAGATGGAGACATAGATTAGTCAATATAGCAAATCACAGTCTCTAAATTAATGCTCGCATGGTTTTTATTACAGGCATGGCATTTTTTTTGGTTTTGCTTTTTTTTCTTGATCAACATAACAGAATTCAAAATGATACTTAAGCTTTAAACCTCTAGGTGGAGATAGCATACAACTTCACAATCACATACAATAAAACAATAGCCTCATTTGTTAATCAGCTTTTCTTATGTTAAGTTCTCCATTTCTAAAGCGACCACATTAGAGAAAGTAATTTTAATCACCTAATAGTTTGGTGTTGCTTACAGTCCCTAAATGTGCGATTAGTTGTAGTTTGTAACTTGGGTTCACTTGCTTTGGTTCTGACTGCGGTAGGTCTTGCCCTGCACTGGTGAGTGTTGTAAGTTAAATAATGCAAGTTTCCTATGATTTTAAAAAATCTGCATTTATTTTTGTGTATTTCCTAGCTAACAAAGCATTTCCTGAAACTATGTTTCCTATTTCACTTCATGCCTAACTCTGGTGCAGTATTAGTTGAGTCACAGTGGGCCAGATCCTGCAAACCCTACTCAAGTGAGTAATCTCACTGACGTCAAAGAGACTACATGCGTAATTAAGGAGTTCATGCCTGAGTAAAGTTTGCAGGATTCGACCCTAATTTGATATTGTATGATCTGATTTTTTAGTGGTATCTCTGAGATACAACAGTTCTTTTAACTCAAAAGAAGCTTAAAAAATGATGGAGACAGTCCAGAAAATAATTAAAAAAAAATAAAAAATGACTCACTGGTAATTTAAGAAAAAAACTCACACATCAGTGAAATCGCACATGACATTTTGGAATGGGCTTCGTAAGTTATAAGATCTTGGTCAGTTCTGTGACAGAAAACACAGACTGCAATGATTTACATTTAAATACTTCCTCCATGCTGTTGAATTGGGGACCAACATAAAGCCCTGCCTTTCATCTTTTTATAGCTTGCTTTAGGGAAAATGCCACCCAAGCCTACTTTTGGTTTGGAGAAGGAAGGAAACATTCTTGGTTTTATGGCATTCAGGATGCCTTGATCAGTAGTTCAGGTTAAAAAATATAGATGGCTAGAAAAGGTTTAGATGATGACGAGTGTAGCACACGATGCTTTACTTCTGGATATTAATATTCTACAATTAAGCAGGTAGGATTGATGAGCTCATGCATTTCACATGCATGGTGCTTAAAATTGTTGTCACGGTAACATTTACTTGTGTGTATCTTTCTGCATGGGAGTGTTTCCCTAGCAGACAACAGCTTTGGTCTGGGTCTCCAGATCAGCACCACAGCCAGCAGGGCAGCAGATTCATGCTCCAGCCCCTAGTGTTTTCTATAGATATATGACCCATGAAGGCTGTAACATCTCGTTCTTCATCAGGGAAGTTACAAACAGTTGATGATCTATAGATTGTTCCTGATGCTTCATTTAATTTTTTTCTATCCAACTTTTACAAGGTCTGTCTGCATCTAGTGGAACGTCAGATACTGCTTTTATAACAAAATGTCATTTTAGTAACATGAAATCAACCCACAGCTGTCCTGCAGCTTGCTAGTCAGCATCATTGTTCCCACCCACCAAACACTGACATCAGAGGACTCCCTGAGCATGATTACTGGAGTTTTCCCTCATGTTCTTCTAGTCATGTACGTTACATGACCATTGGGTGGAAGCATATCCACAGGATTTATCCAGAGATAGAGTATGCTTAGGTGAGGACAGCTAGGATAGAGCTGGAAGGAGACAGTTTTGTGTGTGGGAACCCAGGTTATCTGTCCAGGAGTGACATGCCACTGAGGCCTGGGAAGCTCTTTTAGACTTTTGTGCCTACACAACCAAATGTGTTAGTGGAGCTTGAAGTAACACCCATGGTAGTGCAATGTTGACTAGATGTAGAGGCTACTGGAGAATGACTTCCTGGAAATGTTAAGTAGTATATCATCTACTTTTATGTTTCTGAACTTGTTATGTACAAATTGTATATTCGTATACTTGTAACTACACCATTCCTGTTGGAGGGCAGAAAGTTAAGTATTGAGGGCCAGCCTGCAAAAACTGCATGTTGAGTGTACATTAAAACTTACATAGCACTTTCTAAAATGTAAAATGTCCATTTAGATCAGTGCTGGCTGACTCCCTGGAAGATGAAGCTAAGAATAACATCACCATCTTTACAAGAATTCTAGACAGACTTCTGGATGGTTATGATAATCGTCTCAGACCTGGATTAGGAGGTAATAAAAACAAAGATTGATTAAAAAAAAAAAAGCTTTAATGTTCAGATTTTATGCAGTGATATTCCTTCAGGGCTTTTTTTTTTTTTTCCCCAAACAACTGGTATGTATCTCAAAAAATTATTTATAACTTTATATTCACCCAGCTGAATCATGTGAAGTTTGAGGAAAATAGCATCTATGAACAGAAAGGAGGAAAGGAAGCATTTTCACACATTTATCTTAAGGAGAAAAGGAACACAAAAATCTGGTGATTTAACATAGTAAAACAGAATGAGAACAAAAATAACATCTAAAGCTGTTATTCCAGTCAGGGAATTCTGGTTGAACAAGGAATGCAGGCTTGATTCCCTGCAATGCGATGAACGTATGTTTTCAGAAATCTGCACAAGTGTTTTGTGTGGTGTGTGCACAATCCACATTTTAGATTAATTCCTTATTCCAGTAAATTCAATGGAAATGTTGTATTTTTTACTTCATTGGAATTAGGGTTTTGCTGATAAATAACATTTTCTTTCTGGGTACCTTGCATGTATTTGGGCATTTGAAAAAAAACCAAAACACCAAAAGAAACAAGGGAATATTAGAGGGTAGAGATCACTGCACTCTTGTACCATGACTGTCAGTTATTTCTCAAAATGTCAGTTCACATTTTCATTTCAAAGCTGTATGCTGGCTCATATAGATGTGTAAGCAAGAAATTTAAGCAATTTTTGGTGTTGGAAGAATTAGAATCATAGAATTACTGTGCAAAAAGGTCTCTGTGGTATGGGGAGGGGCAGAATATCTTGGGTTTGATAATATTTTATCTACTATTATTGTTTATCTGCTAGTGATGCTAACAAATGTAAATGTTCATGTATCAAATAGAAAGAACACTGTTATTATCTGTAACAGTTTTGGTAATTGTCATTTTCAACCTGGAGACTGTTTAACTTGCTAAAACTGATTTTAGTGCAAAATCCCTGGGAGCCATTTCTATTCCTGTTGATTTCAGTAAGATCAGGCCCAAAGCTAGAGACCTGCTCTAACAACTCTGATCAAATCAGGAATTAGTTAAAACTCACAGGTTTTAGCCAACCATCTTCCATCCTGACCTGTGGCTCTGCTGCTGTTCTGGTTCTGGAGAATCTTGGTTTACAGCTGACACAGCAAAAAGTGGGAGCTGGCGCTGGCTGGAAACCACTTTCTCATATGCATTAATCTTAACCTAGGATATCTTTTTATTTCCATTTCTGGACTCTGCACAGGGAAAACATGAAATATTTTATATTTAAGGACTTTTTAATTTAGGTGATCCACAGAAGGAGACTTGATGTGAGAATTTCTATAGTGGTGTTTTACACAGGGATTCAATTAATTTGCAAATTACCTGAATTTTAAAATTTAGATATAGTGTGAGCATACAAATGCCTTGCAGGTGACTTGCAGAAACATTTTATATCACAGAGCTCATGTTTAATTGGCAGAGCTTTTAAAATCCTGGGTTTTATTAGAAAAATAATGAAGAATTCTGTTCTTGTTTGCCAAAAGGACCGTGCCATTTAATAAGAGCAGTCTGCAGTTCTTTTTCATATCATATATACTTTTCATATTAAAATATATGCTGTTGAAAATAATTCCAAAAATTATTTTTATAATGGATTTTTATTTTAGATTTTCTATTAAATCTATTTCAAAATGCCTCCCTCTTTTTCTTTGCCAAGCCTCCTAGGTAATTAAAATATACTTTGGGAGCATAAAAACTAAAAAATTAACATCTGTTTGATGTTGGTGTACATGGCAATCAACCCATGCAGAACATGTGTGAAATGAAACTGTGTCATGCACATTAAACCTTGATGATTCATGATACATTAATCTTAATCTGCAAGAATACTTCAGTGGTGGATGGGCTAATTCTTGTAGTTCAAAAGAATGCTCATAGAAGCCAGTTGTGATAATCCATGATCTGACGTGTGCATAGTAAGTCCTCATAGTTTCTAAAAGTGTTGTTGTATAGACTGCTGCATCTTGAACATGTCACATCATTAATTTAATATGCTTACTCTCAGTTCTGTTCCACTTGCATTTATATGAATCTGAAAGAATTTAACTGAAACTAGTACAGCATTTACTTTGGCACAGCAGCTTGCATTATCCTGACTACAACACTAGGACTGAGATCACCCGACCTAAAGTGCTGCAGCAGAAATAGGCCAGGGTCTGAGATGGGTTCTTCTAAGGTCTTTTGAAAGCAAGAGTTTTTCACCAGCCCACTTTCACTTGTCATGAAAGACATTTTTAGAGATGACTTACGGCAAAAATTCAGCTCATTGCAAAGAACTATTGGTCTTTTAAACATTAGATGGAGTAAAACATTCTGTTAAAAACAGAAATGTTTTTAATAATGAAAAGTGTTAGCTTCGCATTGGAGTTGTATGTAGTTACTGACCAACCAAACAGAAATGTATAGGCTCCTTCAAAGACTCTGTATAAATTCAACTAAGTAATTGTCTCTTTGTGGATTTGTTCTTGAATTTATAATTAGTTTTACTGGCAGACTTGGTGTGAGTACTTACAGTATGTAACCTGATGCTCTTCTGAGACATCAGTACAATTCAGAACTGAATACTATTTTCTATAGACTGTTAAGGCAGCTTTAACTTTTACTGATGGTGCAGCTCTGTCACAAAAACAGGTTTTGGCTGTTGGCTGTTGGTAGTTCTAGGAGCTGGGATCCTTGAACACGCTAGTGATGAAATAGCCTGCAAATAGGTGCGGGCAGGGAAAATAAGGCATTGCATTGTCCCCTAAATCCAGGGACATCTCATATGAATTAGGTAATACCCTGACCTGCTATGTTGATGTGGGTAGGCATGAGAGTATTCAAGGGAAGATAATTTTTAGTCTATAATCATTTTATGCTAAGCACAGGACTGGAACACTTGAAGGCCAGAGCTATCCAAATTTATACAACTTGAGGATCTTTCCACAAACTGTGGTCAGTCTCACCAGCTTCTGGAATGGCATTCTTATTGTAACCAAAGAGGTGAATTTGGGTTATTAAGGAAGATCAAACAGTAGGTAGATGAAAAGTAAATACCACTGTCTCACCAGCTTCCATTTTGAAGGATCCATCTCTGTTGCAAGATGACTTTCAGATGTTCTAATTGCTTTAAACAAGAATCTCCATTGTGTTTCACTTACAAAAATGCCAAAACCTGTTTTTTCCACGATGTTTTCTAAATAAATTGAGCAGTAAAACTGATGAGAACTGAGAAGGATTATTACTATCAGAGAGATGATGAGCAGTGTGTACTTAAGGGTATGATCATTTATCTTTGCAGCACTGAATATATTGTTGCATAAAATTGGTGTAGTAGCACAGAGCATTAGATTCTGGGATAAAAAGTTGTACGATGTATTTACCAATATGAGCTAAAAGAAAAAAGCAATTTATTTCACAGAAAACTTTTCCCCCACCTCACCAGATCAGGAGAGCTATATATACATATGTATGTGTATGTGTTTATCAAAGAGTTGTATCTCTTCAGTTGCCAGGAAACAAGGCCATGATCACATGCTTGTAATTGGGAATATGTTAAATTTAGGACAGTATATTTATATGTCTCTGTGATTCAGAGTTTTAATCAGCTGTAAAAGAGTTTGTAACTGCAGCAATCCCCTAGCTAGTCATTCAAAACTTAGCAGTGTTTGTCAGCCTCATCATGCTTAATACACATTCAGAATACCCTAGAAAAAGGTCCTTCGACTATTTTTGCTGTAGAACACTACAGGAAAGCTTTCATTAATGTTTTTAAAGGAAAAAATGCAGGTCCCCTGCTCAATTCTTGTTGCTTCCTTAGCCCGTCTTTGCTCTAGTTTAATCTTTTGGAAATTGTAATCTCTCTCTCCCAGCGCTAGTGCAGAGCAATTCAGAGCAGCGCTTGCACTTTCTGAAAGCCCACTATCTATGTAGTTATGCTGGGATACAAAGGAGTAAACTACTGTATGCTCACTCTTGGGCATACCTGGAAGGGTCACATGGAATCTGGCTGTAACAGTGCTTTCAGAAGAGTCAGTGAGAAACTCAGATTAATTTATGTCAAGAGTTGTGGATAATGTATATTGGCAAAAAGCATTCCTTGTAAAAAATGGACAGCAATAGAGAGGAGGATATGAAAATCTCATTTAATTAGTTATCCAGGGCATGCAGATGGTGTTAAAATCCAAGAACAGAACTAACTCAGTAGTTATAAGCATTCTGGGGAGTGAATCATTAGGAAAGTGGAAGGATAAAAAACCCTCGGAAGCTGTTGTGACACTGAAGAACAAACCAGCAAAAATGCTGTAGGATAGGATAGTGGCTGAGGAGCTAAACAAAACTTACTTACGTATGTATGTATCTATCTATTTATTGGAAGTCTGTGGATAAATCAGCAGTGAAAATACCAGAGTCTTGTGCAGTCTTGCAGTTGTGCAAAGAGGTAAAATGCTATGCTTCACCATAGTTAACAAAAATCTATAAGCTTTACTGTAAAGTTTATATGCCTATAAAGGAGCTTGTCTGGAAAGATCTCCCAGTTCGCTGAACATGTTTGTTCAGTATATTTTTATTTTTATTTTATTTTTTTTCCTCTTCCTGTCTTATCATCAACATTTGCTTCTAATGCTTGAAATACTGCTGATGACACCATGGCTGAATTAAAGTTTTGCTTACTTTTATCTCAGCTACAAGGAAGACGTGAAAGCAGATACTGCAGATATCTGTGAAGCTTATTGAAGCTCATTGTAAACCAGACTGTTGGGATTGTTTCATTTTTCAGCCGGATTTGATGGGCTGAGACAAACTGCCATCTTTCAGTGATGAATGTATTCTGGATTATTTAGAAACTGGTTGAAAAGCAGTGTCCTTGCTGACACCCAAGATATTCTGCTGTTGACTGCTTCCCACTAAGGCCTCTTACCATGTTACATAAATCTTGCAATGAGTTTGCTATCCAAAATACAGAGCTGCT